TTGTTCTAGTTCTGTGAAATATGTCCTGGGTAATTTGATAGGGATTGTATTAAATCTGTAGATTGCCTTGGACAGTGTGACTGTTATAACAATATTGATTCTTGCAATCCAGAAGCATGGGATATCTTTCCATTTTTTAAAGTCTTCTTTAATTTCCTTTATCAGTGGTTTATAGTTTTCTGTATATAAGTCTTTCCCCTCCTTGGTTAGATTTATTCCTAGGTATGTTGATATGTTTTTAAATTATTTGAATGCTAAAGTTCATTCCAGAGTTTCCCGAATGATTTATCTCTTTTGATGTTTCTATATCAAGTAAAACAGAAACCAAGCCTCTGTTGCGAACGGAAGAACTGACTCAGCTGCAAGCAATGCAGAAGGCAGAAGAGGTCCATCAGTTCCGACAGTATAGGACCAGAATCCTCAGCATTCGAGATATTGACCAAGAAGAAAGGATTAAATTAAGGGATAAAGTTCTGGAGATGTACAAGGAAATGTGGGTGAGTCTCAAAGTACATAGACATGGATCACAGCTGACTAATTATTTTGTAATATTAAAACGATATCACAGAATTATGTTGTAACTGGGTAGAAAGAAGTCTTGAAAACATTAGTTCCCAACTTCTCAGAAAACTGGCAAAATTGTTTATACACATCTAATTTACTTGCTTCCTAAAACCTCTTTTGCATACAGTATTGGAGATCTATCCACAAAATGAAGAGAACAGGAGAGAAGACCACAGCAAAGTATTTGTGAAGTTGAAGTCAGAGGTAGATCACATTGACAGACTTGCGGTAGCTAAATCCTAGGCTGGCAGTAGAAAAACTCCTAACCTAATTTGCTCCACAGAATCTCCCACAGGTTCAGAAATTGATGACACCAGCCACATTAAGAAATGAAGGTGAAGTGGGAGGAAGAAAAAAATAATCACTGAGTTTCACTGGTATAAAGCTATTTTGGAAGCAGTTAGAAATCGCAGGTTACACCTCAACTTTTTGAAGCCAGATGACTGTCATTCCCCCATCCCAGCAGAGGGGTAGAGGTGCTTTATTTAGACATGGTCCAAAAACAAAAAAATAGAGATTTCTGTACTGTGAAAGATCAAGCTTAATTAAAAATAGAAGTATCATTGTACTAGAAATGGGGAATTTAATAAATGTACACAGGTGACTTCCACTATGGAGGATGAAGATTTATTTTTTCCTCCTTCTTCCCTACAACGTACAAACACACATACATACTCCCAAAGACTCTGAGGGCTACAGGACTTTCTAAACATTTTAGCTACGGGAATATTGGGTTCTCCGTGTCATTCTTAGTTTTGGCCAATCTGAGGAACATGTCTATGTGTCATCTCTTCTTGTTTGCCCAGTAGGTACCTCTAATCAAACCTCGCCAAATCCAAATATTATCATTCTTGCCCTCTTTCTTCTTTCAGCTCAAACACATCCCTCCACCAGTGTTCTCCAGCCTAGTAAACAGTGACAGCACCCTCTCAGTTGCTCAGAGCAGAAACCTCGAAAACATCCTTAACTTATCATTCTTTACGTCTAATCCATCACCAAAACTTGTCATCATTACCTTGAAAACATATCCAAATTTCAGCCACCTTCCATTCTCTCTGTCCCAGCCACCCTAGTCCAGACCGTCCTGGTCTTCCATTCAGAGTCCTGCAGCAGCCCCCTGGCTGAGCTCACTGCTTTCACCTCGTCCTCTACAAAGTCTCTGCTCAGCAGCCACAATGATTGTTATCAGTCAGGACAAACTAGTCTATCCTGTGCTTCCAAAAAACCCCAGTGTCTCAGTGGCTTAAGACAGGGGTTGACAAACTTGTTTTCTGTAAAGGACCAAATAATAAACATTTTTGCCTTTGCAGGCAGTAAGTTGAATCTACTCAACTCTGCTGCTGTTAACACAAAATTAGTCAGTGATGATATCTAAATGTGTTCCAATAAAACTTTACTTAGAACATCTGGAAGCAATGAGCCAGCTTTGTTTCAGAGTCCTTACCAATCCCTGGATTATAACAATGAAAGAGTGTTTCTCACTCCAGCTACATGTTCACTTGTTCACATGTTCAGTGAGTCCAGGCGAGGGTCCTTCTCATCATGTTTATATTTTATGTTCACATTTCATTGGTCAAATCAACTTTCATGGACACGTACAATTTCTGTGAAGGAATAAACCCTGCTGACACCTTGATTTCAAACATCTAGTATCAATAACAATAAAGTTATACCGTTTAAGCCATCCAGTTTGTGGCACATCGTTACGGCAGCCCTAGCTGACTAATAAGGAGTGCCACGCCAGCACGTACCTTGAGGGGGACTGGAAATGTTTCGTGAATTGCAGTAGTAGTTATCATAGTACAACTTTAAAATGGAGGGTGGGCTCATTTCACTCCTCTAATGGCTTCACATTTCACTATGAAAAAAGCTGAGATCTTTATTAAACGTCTAGAGCACTACAAAGGCTAGTGCCCACTTTCCTCTCTCATCCTTTCCTCTGCCATTCCACCTGCTTTGAGCCTTTTGATTTTTCCAAACTGATTTCGCCTTTCTTCTAACAGTCAAGTGTGTACCCACTTCTGGGCCTTTGATCTTGCTTCTGCTCCTTCCTGGAACATCCTTCCCCGAGAGAGCCAAATGGTGTACAGCTTTACTTTATGAGGTCTCTCATCTATCGTCACTTCACGAGAGAGGTCTTCTCCACCTACCTTTCCAAGATTAACACCATTGAAAACGTGTACACCCATTCCTGGCCTTTTTATTTTCCTTAAAACACTCATCCTATATGTATATTCATTTATTGGCTTAACATGGAAATGTATGTAGATCATAGATATATATTAAATATGCGTACATTTTAAAATCTACCTCCACTAGAATAGAGACCCTACATAAACAAGGACTTTGTTTTGATTCACTCTTGTGTCCCTGGAGCCTGGAAAGGATGTTTATTTCACAGAATTTGCTTCATCAAGGAATCAGTGAATTAATAAATGAATATTAAAATTATATAGATTCAATTTATCAGGTAGAAAATAGTTTAAATGAAAACATCATAAGACAAAAGGGAATTTCAGGATTGCCCGTCATGTGTTTTGTGTTTAATACACAAGTAAATGCAGTAGATGGAGAGGAGGCAGGGAATAAATATTAACTGGGACAGTTTTGAATTTAGACCCCATTCTTTAAGTGTGAGGTACAGATAAACGCCCTAGTTTTGATTGAAGCTACCTTAGGAGAAACACGATCAGTACCATACTTACTATCAGGTGAGAAAACACTAATCTTCAAAAGATCACTGACATACATTAAACTTACTTTACACTAAACCCTTAAGATGGTGCGATCTCTCTCTTTCTCTGTTTTTAAAATATGTCACTGCTATCATCTTGTACTTGTGCAACTGGTTAAGTAAAACCAGTTTTATTGTGGTAGATACAGTACTTTTCTTTCATCAAAAACTTTGGGGAGTCTGATGCTGACATCCAGCTGTTCCACCATCTCAACCAAAGCCATGCAAGTTGCAAAACCATGACAAAATTTCTAAAGACATCAGTGATGAAAACAGAACAGTCATTTCTAGAAGCTTCTCTTCTAGCTAGCATCAGTTCATTAATCCTTTCTATTCCATTATATTATTTCTGAGTAATAATAGTAAATCAACAACAATCAAGAAGTTGAACCATAATTTTGCCCTTACTATCAGAAATGCAAACGAAATTAGGAAGCCATGGCCTCCTAGTAAACTTACATTAGCACTTAATAATCACTGCCTTACTTGCAGACATTTTTTTAGAGAAGCCATTTCATAACCCATTTCTAGAATGGTGCCTGAAACTGTCAGTAAGTATTCTCATCTACAGTTTGAAAAATTATTCTTCTTTTCAAAAATATAAACATTATTTACCTGTTTATAATTTTCTGACACTTCCCATCTCTACAGTTTATTTACCCAGCAAATATTTCTGTGCATGTTTGTACCAGGGACTGTCCTAGGCACGAACAAAAGAGATAAACCCCTACCCTTGTGGAGCTTGGATTCTGGTGAGCAAATAGATGGTCAAATACAAACATAATCCATAAATATTGTATAAAGTGATAGAAAGGGACCAGAATCGAGAAAAACAGAGTAGAGCAGAATCACAATACAATGATTCAGAAGAGATGGCTAGTGCAGAGGCCCTAGGGAAAGAGCATACTCATTGCATCAGAAGGACAGCAAGGAGGCCGGTGCCATTGGAGCAGAGTGAGCAAGGGGTAGATGAGTGTAAGAAGAGATCAGAGAGGAAGTGGGAAGAGGCTGACGGAGAAGGTAACCATGTAGGACTGTGAAGGCCACTGTCAAGACTTCAGCTTTTATTCTGAGAAAAATGTGGAACTATGCATGGATTCTAAAGAGCAGAGGAGTAATGATTTGACTTATGTGTGAGAAGGTCTCCTCTGGATATCATGTGGAGAACAGGTAAGCACACAAGGAGACACATAGAAGAAAAGAGTTCTGTGAGAAGACCACTGCAGTGAGCACGGGAGGGTGGTTCACTCCAAGATGGTGGGTGGAGGTGGTGAGAAATGATCGCATCCTAGATATATTTTGAAAGTAGAGTTACAAGGATTTCCTGACGGATTGTTGGTGTATTTATTATAAGAGAGGAATCAAGAAATACTCTTAAGTTTTGGCGTAAAACAGTTGAAAGGACTGAGTGCCATCAAATCTGATGGTTTAGGAGGAAAGATAAGATTTCAATTGGGACATTTTTTAATATATCTATTGTATTTAAACAGAGTTTACTATATATCTATTAGTCATGTGGAAACAGTGAATGAAAGTTAGACATATGCTTATGGAATTTGGGAGCAAGATCTGGGCTGGGGACCCATCAGTGTATAAATGGAAAGTAAAGCCATAGATTGTATCCAACCCAAGGGAAGAGGCCTGAGATCTGAGATGTGGCCACTTCCTCATGAAGAGATGAAGCAGAAAAGAAGAAATCAGCAAAGGCAACTGACAAGGAGCAGATAATGAAGTAGAAGAAAAATGAAGAGGGTGTTATGTCCAGGAAACCAACTGAAGTCAGGAAGGAGAAGGTGGTTAAGTAAGAACAGATCTAAGAAATGAGCTTGGATTTAGATGCGTGTAGATCATCAGTGTCCTTGAGGAAAACAGTTTTTTCTGAAGTGAAAATGAAAAGCAAATTGACGATAACAAAGATAACCAATTGATTTAGGTGGCATTATTCAGAAGGTCTTCAAGTACAGCTCAGACGTATTTTGTCAGGGCTGGAATTTGTGTGAGGAACTAATAATGTACTGAGCACAGTTACAGTGAGAGACACTGTGTTTTATACAGATTATATCTGAACTTGTTTAAAGCAGATAGTTGCTCTGCCAAAAATCTCTGCTTATTTCTTGCTTCATCTTGCTCTTTCTTTACCGTTCGGTTAAAATCTCATGTGCCCCTAGTGGGCACCTCATGTTTCACGCATTCAGACTTTAACCTAACTTTCATCTTTCTTCGTTAATTTCTCAAATGAATCTATTGGCGTGAGCAAAGGATAAAAGGATTGCAGCTCCTTCTAGAGCCATAATAAGGCTTTACCAGTGGAGCTTATTCGCCTGGGGCTTTCTTTTGGACTAGGACTCCGTAGACGAAGCCCGGCAGGAGATCCTCAGCGTCCGGGAGGAGTACCGGAACAAGCTGCTGGACGCTGAGCGCCTCCGCTTGGAGGCTCTGGCCGCCGAGGAAGCCGTCAGCCGCGTGGAGCCCGAAAAGAAGGTCCCGGCCCCGGACACACAGAAAAAAAAGAAAGGAATGAAAAAGTAACCAGGGGATGCCCCCAATAGAAGAGGATCTATTTCTAATCACCTGTAACTTTGAGAAAAATAAGGTTGTAGGCCAATTGAAAACAGCCGTTTTTCTACCTTAGAAATAGTTTCTGTGCTTTAATGTTCATGTACTAGTTTTTCCCAGAAGCTATCATTTGAGTTTACAATTTTCTAATTTCAATAAAAATAGCCTCCACATATTTAGAATGTAATAAACTTTAGATGTCTCCATCTGAATGGCTTCATTTTTAGTTAGTAATGAAAATAGGATTGCGAGTGAACCAACAGATTGTCTTTGAAAAATTCAACGAGAAAAAGAGCTATTGTTCTTCAAAGAAATTTTGTCTCTAACTTTAAAGGCTTTAAAATATTTTTAAAAGTATGCTTTAGACCTGTGCTTTAAAAAAAAAAATAGGAACAATCGAGAAACCCAGCTCAACAGTCAAGAACTACCATGAGTTAAGCACACACTCAAATTGCTGGAAGCCAGAATCCTGACCTGAGTCAGGGCAACCCAGGCAGACAAGCTGATGACATACATCCTTCGCTATATGTATCAGCACTGTATTTTTTGTAACATAGAACATGTTCTTTTATGCTAGTTAAAAAGAAAAAATACCATGAGTGGATTAACTGAGATATGCAGTAGGAAATTGACTATCAAAAGCACATTTCCAATTCATAACTTTCTCAGATAAAAACACCCATAGACTTTTTGAACCAGTCAAAGCTGTTTCACTTTGACAGAAGATTTTACTTTTTTCGTTTATTTCAATGCAATTTTTTCTCTATTACTCTTTGCCTGCATGTTCCTTCACAGCTCTGTGACCGACCCCACCCCCAAATAATTCATAGTAACAAAGTAGTATGGATATTTTTCACTCATCTCATATAATTATACATTAGGATTTTATATCATGGCTTATTTTACATATTGACATTTTGTTATACATACTTCACTGTATGTTGATTTTTCTCATCAAACAATACAAAGTCTCTTCTAGTCAAAAGTAATTTATTTTTAATTGCTGTGCAATATTCCATTGCACCAGTATTCCATAATCTATCCAACTAATTCTCTATTGATGAATATTTACTTTTGTTTTTAGATTTTTTTTACCATACAAGCTATCTACTTGAAAGTGTGTTTGTATCAGGATATTCAAGTGTAGTCGACCCTTAAAAAACACAGATTTGAATTGTACAGGTCCACTTATACACACATATTTTTCAATAAATATATTGGAAAAATTTTTGGAGATTTGCAGCAATTTGAAAAACTCACAGATGAACCATGTAACCTGGAAATTAAAAAAAGGAAAAGTTAGATATGTCATGAATGCATAAAATACATGCCAATGCTAATCTATTTTATCCTTTACTACCATGAAATGTTACAAATCAAAGTTAAAATTTACCAAAATAAACACTTGCAGGTTATGCATGATGCCATTCGCAGTCAAGAGAAATGTAAACAAACATAAAAATGTAGTATTAAATCATAATGGCATAAAATTATCTATAGTACATAATAATTTTGCAGCCCCTCCTGTTGCTTTTACAGTGAGTACAAGTGTTATAAGAGTCTGTATAAAATGCCATGTGATGCTAATCCTCTCCACCTGAGCAGTAGTCGCTCCAGTAAACTTCATATTGCAGTAAAAAATGATCTCGTGGTTCTTGAGTATTTTTCACTGTGTTCAGTGCAATACTGTAAACTTTGAATGACACCATAGGACCATATGAAATGTCACTAGTGATGCTGGAAGTGCTCCCAAGAAACAGAGAAAAGTCATGACATTACAAGGAAAAGTTGAATTGCTTGATATGTACTGTATTGGGGTCTGCAGCTGTGGTTGCCCACGATTTCAAGGTAAATGAATCCAGCATAAGGACCATTGTAAGAAAGGAAGAAAGGGGGTGGGGGAGGGAGGGAGGAAAGAAAGGAGAAAAGAAAACCCATGAAGTCATCACTGCTGCTATGTCAGCAAGCATGGAAACTTTGCGTTTTTTGAGAAATACCTTTTTATCTTGTATTAAAAATGCAGATTTTATATGGGTGCAGTATTGCTGTAAGAAAGGCATACCTGTACACTCTAATAGGATTCGAGAAAAAGCAGAATCATTATATAACAACTTAAAGCAAAAAGAAGGTGAAGGATCTAAAGCTGGAGAATTTAACGCCAGCAAGGAATGGTTTGATAATTTTAGAAAGAGGTTTGGCTCATCAAATGTCAAGATAACAGGAGAAGCAGTTTCTGCCAACTAAGAGGCAGCAGATGAGTTCCAGAAGCCATTAAGAAAATGAAGAGAAAGGATATCTGCCTGAACAGATTTTGAATGCAGACAAAAGTGCCCTATTCTGGGGAAAAAAATGCCATAAAGGACATTTATTAGCAAGGAAGAGAAGCGAGCACTGGGATTTAAAGCAGGAAGGGATAGGCTGACTACTGTTTTTTGCAAATGCAGTGGAGTTTATGATCAGGACTGTCCTTATCCATAAAGCTGCTGACCTTCAAGCCTGAAGGGAAAGGATAAACACCAGCTGCCTGTCTTTAGGTTGTACAACAAGAAAGTCTGGACAATGAGACCCCTTTATCTGGGTTGGTTCCATCAATGCTTTGTCCCTAAAGTCAGGAAGTACCTTGGAAGTCGTTGCCTTTTAATATTCTTTTGGTATTGGACAATGCCCCTTGGCACCCAGAACCCCATGGGTTCAATTTTGAAGGTGTCCAAGTGGTCTACTTGCCCCCAAATACAGCAACTCTAATTCATTCTCTAGATCAGGGGGTCATAAGAACCTTTAAGGCTTGTTACACATAGGACTCTGTGGAAAGGACTGTCAGTGCTATGGAAGAGAACCCCAATAGAGAGAACTTCATGAGAGCCTAGAATATTGAAGAAGCCATCATTGTTATAGAAAAAAATCTGTGAAAGCCATGAACAAAGCCAAGCCTGAAACAATGTACTACTGGAGAAACTGCATCCAGATGTCATGCATGACTTTATAGGATTTATGACAGAGTCAGTTAAGGACATCATGAACGAGACTGTTGATATGGCAAAAGGTAGTGGGTAAGGTATTTCAAGATAAGAATCTTGGACAAATTCTGAAACTAATAGACACCACACCAGAGGAATTAGCAGAAGATGATTTGATGGAGGTGAGTGCTTCCAAACCAGTGCCAGACGATGAGGATGAGGACATAGAAGAAGCAGTGCCAGTAAACAAACTGACCTTGGACAATCTGGCCACAGGGTTCCAGTTATTCAAGACTGCTTTTGACTTCTTTTACAACACGGACCCTTCTATGATATGGGCACTGAAACTCAAGCAAACAGTGGAAGAAAGACTGGAATTATTGGAAAGATAGAAACATTTTTAGAGAAATGGAAAAAGCAAAAAATCAGACACAAATTATGACGTATCTCCATAAAGTTACATCTAGGGTGCCTGTCTCTCCTGCCTCCCCTCCACTTCCTCCACCTCCTCCACCTTTGCCTCCCCTGAGATGGCAAGTCCAGCCCCTCCTCTTCCTCCTCCTCAGCCTACTCAATGTGAGGATGGCGAGGATGAGGACCTTTATGATGATCCACCTCCACTTAATAAATAGTAAATAATCATCATGCCTTACAGTTGATAAACTTATCTGTTGTGTATGTGTGTAAAAGTCTAACTAGCATATGGCAAGAACAGTATGAGACATTTTCGTGTCATCATCATCATCACCTAAATATTCATCCTGCAGAACACCCTGTGGAAGACTTGTATCAAAGTGAATAGCCTATCCTCACATAGACATGAAGTGAGTGATATTTAGTATAAAATTAATATGTGTTAGTTTCATTACTGTTTTGTAACTGTGCTTTCAAAGAATTATATTACCATACAGTATGCCTCTCTCTCTCTTTCTCTCTGGCGATTAAAGAAACTATGTATCAGCCTATCATCACAGGTAAATGGCTTTTTAAAAAATGTAACAGTATTTCCAATACTGTATTATAAATATAACTATAATACTATATGGCATAAAAGTTTTATGAGAATTCATTCGTTAGTGTATGGGCTATCATAAAGGGACCCTCTTGCTGCTGCTTCATTATCGATGCATGAAACTGTTATACTTGTAAGTAACCATGAATTTCTTTTTCACATTGTCTTTTCATTTTTTTATGTCTAGTGTTAGTAATTAGTATAACATCTACAATCTTTTGTATCATATGACAATATTGATGTAGATACTGACAGACGATTCATCTTATAAATGGACATAAACTTACAGTATCAATAAATACATTGCAGTACTGTAAATGTATTTTCTCTTCCTTACAATTTTCTTATTTTTTAATTTTTTGGGGGGGAGGTAATTACATTTATTTATTTAATTTTTTTAATGGCGGTACTGGGGATTGAACCCAAGACCTTACACATCATGCTAGGCACACACTCTGCCACTGAGCTATACCGTTCCCCTTGAGTTTAACATTTTCTTTTCTCTAGTCTACTTCATTGTAAGAATACAATTTATAATTCATGTAACATAAAAAATAGGTGTTAATCAACTGTTTATGTTATTGATAACGCTTTTGGACAACAATAAGCTATAAGCAGTTAAGTTTGTGGGGAGTCAAAAGTTATAGTCAATTTTCAGCTGCACAGGGATTGGCGCCCCTAACCCCTATGTTGTTCAAGGGACAATGTAGTAACATTGGTATTTTAAATTCTCTTCAAGTTAGATAAAATTCAGCTGCAAACATATCTTGCCCTTATAATTAAATTCCATATCTTTAAACATCAATGACTTCTGTGAAATTTTTTCTATTGCTGTCATTATTTCTGTTTGATTTTTTTAAACTTTTTTTTCTGTTCTCTTCCTTTCTTGCTATACTTTTTAACTGATTATTTCCTGAGCTTTTCTATCTGATTTTTCCAAAGCTCTGGTTATTTTTTTTTAATTTTTGGTAGCTTACTTTGAATTTTCATACAACATTTTTCTTCTGCTTAATGCACACATCCCTGGCATGTTCTCATTTTCCATCTGAATGCTATTTGCTTCATTTTCATCTCATTACCTTCAATAATTTATATGGAGTTTTACCCAACTTTTTAAAAGGTTTGTTTTTAGAACTATTAAGAGGAGTTTCCTATGTTTGACAGACAGCATAGAATATTTTCCCAGCTCTGTGAGTGCAGGACTTTCTCTCTTGATATAATCATCAAATGTGGCCACAGCTCTGTCTCTCACTGATGAGTCTGGCTTATGAAAGTTTATTGTTTAGGTTGGGTTTCGTTCTTGCCACTACACCTCTGTTGCCTAATTTTCTGTAAACCTTGGTTTTCAAGATAGAACTCCCATCTTTCGATATTTTATTTTGCTGCCACAGTACTCTGGATCCTCCACCACTATGCACTGTGTTGATGGGGATGTCAGTTGGTACAGTCACTATGGAAAACGTTATGGAGTTTCCTCGAAAAATGAAAAGTTGAACTACTGTATGATCCACTAATTTCACTTCTAGATATATAGCCAAAGAAAATGAAATCACTGTCTCAAAGTGATATCTGCACCCCAAAGTTCATGCAGCATTATTCACAATAGCCAAGATATGGAAACAACCTAAGTGTTCATTGACAGATGGACAGATAAATAGGTAAAGAATAAATAAATGGTTAAATGGATATATAGATAAAAAGATAAAATATATATATTACATATATATATGCATAAACTCATTATAAAAAGGAAATCCTGCCATTTGTAAAAACATGAACCCAGAGGACATTATGCTAATTGAAATAAGTCAGACATAGAAAGACAAATATTGCATGATCTTACTCATATGTGGAATCTAAAACAGTCAAACTGGTAGAAGCAGAGAGTAAAACTGTGGTTACCAGGGGCTGGGAAGTAGAGGACATGGGGAGAAGTTGGCCAAAAGGACACAAAATTTTAGTTATAAGATGTTTGGAGAAATACAATGTATAGCATGATGACTATAATTAATGATATGTGTTGTATACTTTAAATTTGCTACAAGATCTTAAGTGTTTTCACCATCCGCCCCCCCAAAAAAAAGATAATTATTTGAGGTGATGGATATATTAATTAACTTGATCATGGATCTCATGTATAATATCACATTGTACACGTTAAATACATACAATTTTTATTTGTCTATTATACCTCAATAAATCTGGTAAAAAATACAGTTATAATGACAGTTCAAAAAATTAAATAATTGCAGTGTATTGTCCGTTTTAGAACCTGCATAGAAGTAAAATGGCTGACAACAG